CTGGGATCAAGATCATGCAAGGCTTCATTTATCAAAGTCTCACGCTTACAGCATTCATGAAACACTCTACCAGACCTTCCCAAGAACAGAGTTCGTTTTATTCTCAAGTTATTTATCCAGATTGATTCTTGTTCATTCTCTTTCTGTTTCCACTACACAACTAATATAAAAACCCAACCTTGCTAGCGTTCTCTGCCCATCTCCCTTTTTTGCCCGTGTGGAAACATGATTTTTTTTTTCTACTAAATGTTGAAACGCAGAACATAGGCTAACATGATGGACACTGAGAGCACGCACAATTCTGCTAACACGCCCTTCTGTGCTGGAGGAGTCTTATTCTGAGGAGTTTAGATGATCAGAGAGAATAAACGTTACAAGCAAAAGCAGGACTGAGGTACAGTAGTGCTGCTTTTATGCAGTTAAGACACTTATAAAATGGATGATGGAAATCATCTGAATAGAGGAAGTCATTGACCGGAATCCTTCAAGAAAATTTACTACGTAAAAAAAAAAAGAAAGATCAACATGAACTGGAATGTCTTGAAGACATGATGGGGCTAAAACAGTAATTACGTAAGGGAAACGTTGAGATAGTCACTTCAGTAACATTGGGAGTGATTCTCACACCTATTTCCAAAATTCTTATCAGGTATGGGGCCTTAAAGTGGGCATAGTTTACTTATTTTTCTGTATTTTATACAATGTGAAAAGCCTTAACGTAAAAGATCGAGATCCATTAGGCTTATTTTTAGAATGTGAATACAAGAATTATGATAGTAAAGCATCCTTTGAGAGGTGCATAAGTCTTTGCAGAGAAACATTTTCATTGTCTTTGTATCATATAAACGTAGTCCAGTAACAAAACTTTTTAAAACTTGTGTCTCCTTCAATTTTTAATAAAAGCTATGCAAAATTAAAAATCTTTTGAAAATAGCTGTTTTATCGATGTAGGCATACGCCTGTTTATCTACTCAAATCAAATTAATTTCCAAGAGCCCAAGTGTCAAATTTCAGTAGTTAGTACTGTACACCACAAATTGTCCTGTCTAGTTCAATGGGTTGACAGAGTACGGTCGTAAATAAATGATCATTCTATTTAAAATGGAAAGTGCTCAAGTTAGTGATGTTACATACAAATTAAAGCCAAAGTGACACATTTTTTTGATCAACTAAATAAAAAGCAATATAATCAGACACCTTTCAAGTCAACCTTGATCTTATTTAATATCTATACATATTAAAAGTTGATATATTTTCCTTAGAAAATACACCAGTTTTGATTTTGGGCAGAAATTACCCTTCTCTGAAATAACGATTTAAAAATAAGAACTTTCAGGATATTATTAAAAATAAAATGAGATAAACTTCTATGTCAGTCTTACACTGACAAAAGTTTTCTTTTTTAGTTAGTTGCCAATTATTGTGCCTCAAGATAAAAGATGGCATCCCTTTATCAATGGGTTCTACAACATGCCAGTTTCAGTGTATGAGCTTTTGGAATAACAACCTTCGCAAAAGGTTTTCACATTGAAAAGAAGAATTCTTAATGTACCAGCACATACAACGTTCCTGTCTGAAAAAAAAAAAAAATCATAAATCATTATCATAAAAAACAGTCTTTCTATTTTCCATATGAAGGAACAGAAAATTTTGTAAGAAATGCTCATTGTTCCTTAAGCCCCGGATTTGGACGACTCCATCATCTTATCTCCCTTAGAAGGGGAACTGGATCACATAGGGGAGGAGAAAGGGGATATACAGGATTTCCAGGACCTCATTACTTACTGTTTTCAATAGAAGAGATATAAGTGCACCTTATTTACTGACCGCTAATCTCATTCTTCACAGTTTCCACTGTTCATCTGAGCAGCCAGGAAGGATTCACTTCTCCCACATTCCTCAAGAACATCTTGGTGCATAAAGTGGTTTTGGGTGCGGGGAGAGAAGATGGGGAAATTCACCTCTTGGGCTCTGAACGAAGACGGCACGCAGATGGACAGAATGCAGTGGACTGGTGCTACCAGTTGTTTTAAAGTCTCACGGAAGCCCTTCTCACACTGAAGCTCACTACCAGACTCAGGACCAGAAAGGTATTTTCCTTCAGGTTAGATTGGCCTGTAGTGTTTCTCCTTCCCTTACTTAATAGCCTGAGGCAACTGCAACTTCCCAAGATCATCTGTAAATTCTACCAAACAAGTTCTCTGCTTCTGCAAGAAGCTAGAAAGTTGTCAATGACAACAGCACGTGAGACGCTTTCCATAATGTGCTGGGACATGTGCAGCAGTAATCAATGGAGCCTGCTGGACTTAGCATCTAGTGCATGATTATCCTGGTGATACAGAACCAATTTTTCCTGAGACCAATGAAGAGGATACTAACTTGATGATACTTTTCTGTTATTCCTTAGCAGACAATGAGTAAGTTTAAGAAGAAAAAAAGTCCATCTTCTTCTTTTCCCAATATATTTGGCTGGGCGACCCCAGATAACGCCTCAGATAAATTGAGCGTATCAAGGCACTGAGCGTGTTCAGATCACCGGACACTGGGACAACACATACTATATAAAGCACTGATGCAAAGTCAGGACCTAAAAAAGTAGAGATCATAGGATAGTTCAGGTTGGAAATGACCTGAGGAAGCCTCTAGGCCAACCTCCTGATCAAAGCAAGGCTGGCTATGAGGTCAGACCACTTTGCTCAGGGGTTTATCCAGACTTGTCTTGAAAACCTCCAAGGATAGAGACTGTACAACCTCTCTGGGCAACCTGTTCCAATGCTTGACTGTCCTCACGGTATAAAAGTTCTTCTCTATGTCCACTAACATTTAAGTTACTGGGAATGAAGTTTTATTTAAGATTTCTTAAGCTACTGTCCTACCTTCAGCCACTTCCCTCTAAGTACCTTGCAGAGAGCTGAAATCTTGATCCTCCAGAGACTTACAAATCTATGTAACATTTGTGAGCAATTCCATAAAACTCTTTGAGATTGCTCGTAAGTATATACGAGTGCAAACGTCTTGAAAGACACGGGCTTAAGACAATTCAGTTATGATGCTCTTTTCCATAATTGTAGAATAGCTGAACAATATGCACACAGCTCTTCCTGTTATACTGTCAAGAGTCAATTTTTCTGTTTAGTAATGAGTTTCACAGCAATCACAAGTTTCGTGCTGCCTGAAACAAATGCAGTAGCTGAAACTTCTCTCATATATAGCAACAGAAAGGTTTGGATAGTGCTCTCGCCTTTCTCAAGATTAGAGATTGGGAAGACTTTCTCATCTCTGCGAAAAGAGAACTGGACAGCTCAGATACTAGCAGTGGACTACGGACCCTTCCACAAAACCTCAAATTCAGACTTAACCTCCTTTCTATTAGAAGATTTTCAGTCAAAAGCTATGTGCTTGCGGGAAAGAGGACCCACTTGTTGCATGATTATTTTGAGCGCTGCTAAAAAAGATATTTTCCCTCAGTTACTTCATAGGCTGTTAGACATGGGCAAAAGAGAATTGTTCACTGTTTTTAAAAGATTAATTACTACTTTGAGCAAATTAGCGTGCCCAGCATACTTACAGACCAAACTGTGGCAAGGAAGGGCCAAGCCTCTGGGTTAGCACGGCTAACGGTACTCACCCAACGGCCGCGGTCTGAGCACCTAACTGGATGACGCTGCCGTCTTGGCGGCGCGCTTCGGGCCGACACGGACAACCGAAACAAATTCAAAGAGAACAGCAAGAACGTCGCACGTTTTAAACACGGAGCAGCCAGGTGCTCAGGCAGCGGTGACGAAGCCTAGCGAGGCGCGAGTTTAGT